TAAATTATTTGATGCGTAGAAGTTTTAGGATACTTTAACCTATGTAAGCAAATCATGAGTGCTTTCAGAAAGGTTAAAATCAAAGATTAGTGCTATAGAACTGAAGATATTAAAAAAATTGCAACACCTAGAAAGAGATGAGTCACTAATCTGAAATCTTAATAAAACTGGATGCAAGTAAAAAGTCGGTGATAAAAACATCATATCAATACATAAAGAATTGCAAGTTTTACAGCAAACCTAGAATTTCATTGAACATATCATCTCATTCAGAGCATGCCTCACAGAGTTAGACAGTGCATAAACAATCGTGGGAATGTAACATTCTATTGACATAAATTGTTTGTATTTCGTTTTCAATTGTTATAACTTGTTGAAATAAAATTACTTGTAAAAATTTCAGCTTTGACTCAGCTCTTTCGAGGTGTTACAATTTTTTTGTCGCGTACTTTATTAAGAAGAATAGAGAGTGTGATAAGGATGGACAGAATGTGGAACTAATAATAACAAAAATAAAAGAAAGCCATCTGAGATGGTGATTGAAAATAACCAAAAGAAAGAGAAAGATAAGAGGAAGGATAATGGATGGAAATGGTAAGAGATACGTGTGGACAAATTACCACTTCATATACAGTTTTTAGGCTCAGAATCATACAAAAATTGATGACATTGATACACAAAATCAAGAAAGTGTAACTGCTATGCAGATATACTGGAAGTTTTTTGACGCAGAAATTTTGTTATTGTTCGCGAAACAAATAAAAATGCTGCAACTACTATTCAAAACAGTCGACCAGGTCACTCGGCCAGAATCAATAAATGGATGGATACCAATGAAGATGAAATGTGGAAGTTTTTTGCTGTCTTTCTTTATATGGGATTTGTAAAGTATACTACAATAGCTGATTTTTATACAAAAATTGTATCATTCCAAAAGTAATGAGCAGAAATAGATTTCAACTATTGCTGAGGTTGGTTCATTTTGCTGATAATTCGACGGCTGACAAAAGTGATAGGTTATACAAGGTTAGAAATCTAATTGACATGATGAAGGAACGAATCAATGATGAAGGAGAAGTGGTTGGTAAACAAAATTCGAACAGTTTTGAAAATTGAAGGTAAACCAAAAATCTTTTACTAGAATCTTTTTCATGTATTAGCCATTATTTGTCATGAGGAATAAATCCTTAAGTTTATGGGTATAGGTTGAGAGGGACCCTGTATATGTCCTGAAACTCAACGTCAACTGGGTACCAGGCGAGAGACCAACCCTTACCTGTTCTGGTAAAAAATAAGAAAAAAATTCCTTTATATTACCTTTAGGTACTAGGGTCAGAAATGTTCGCGATTGAATAGTGATTTTTTTAATAACGGAATCCTTATTAACCATGCTACTATAGAAGTCACAAATGAAACAACAAAAGTCGTTTGTTGAAAAAAAGAGTAGTACAACACCCTTGGCAAGTAATTTTAAAAGATGGCCTGTTTAGTCAAGTTTCCAAAATGGTACAACACTTGACATTTTTCTTTTCATAAAAAAATATTATTGCCCGTTTTTCTGCAAAATTTTGGGCGGAATGGATGTGAAGATTTGGATAAATATTGAGGTAAGTATCTTATGTTGTAGAAAAAGTGGCTTGGTTGTGATACTTTTTTCACCCGTTAAAGCCCTTACTGCTATCTTTTGTTGCAGGAAAATATCTTTCGCCACCGATGAGTTCCCCCAAATTAAGATACCATATGATGCCTTACTATGAAAGTTCACAAAGTACGTAGCCCTAGCTGCCTCATATCCAGCTATTGTTCTAATACGCCTGATAGTAAAAATCGCAACAGCTAGAAATCTTTGAAGATACTCAACATGGGAGTTCCAGTTCAGATTTGACATCACGGAAATCCCTAGGAATTTTATTGGTTCCTGCTCCCGTCCCTAGGTTTCAATAATTCCAGTGTTCTTTTCAAGCTCGCATTTATCTTTCGATGTTAGCATGAAAGACGTGTCATCAGCGTATATATTTATACAGGGTGTTAATAAACAAACTTTACACACGCTGGCAGGTATAGTAGAGATAAAAACAAGAAAAAAATCCTAATACACATAGATCCAATACTCATTGGTTTTCGAGATATGGAATTTTTAAATTTTCATTGTCAGCTTTAAATTTGAATGCGATATCGCGTTACCATTAACGCGATAAAACAACAGCCGCAGAAACTGCATGTCAATAAACATTTTGTGACTTATTCTTATTTAAGCTAGCTTATTTTCGCAAATGGTTCAATTTACATTTGCGGAATACGCCGATATGCAGAAAAAAATCCTAATACACATAGGTCCAATACTCATTTATTTTCAGAGATATGGCTTTTACAAAAAAAAATTACAACACGCAACGCATTTAGCACACTCGTTATCGCGGAAGATTTTCAAACTGTCGTCCTTCCTCTTGTAAACGAAGTTGCACTCGTTGTCGAAGAGAATTACGCACTCGATTGAAAGCAGTTTGATTTCTTAGTTGCTGGCAACCGACTACTATTCTCTGCCAAAGTTCATCTTCTGTATAAACTTCCGTGGCATAAACAATACCTTTTAAATGTCCNACTATATGCCCACTACTGTACACAAACTGTTAATTCACGGGACGAAAATACTACAATTTTCGATGCTGCCAATAGGACAGATGTCAGAAGAAGCTCAGGAAGCGTGTAATAAATACATAAAATCATTTCGACAAGATTTTTCCAGAAAATGTAGTAGGAAGGACAATATGGAAGATGTTTTTTCGGGGCTTTTGGTTTCGTCCGACCCTGTCATTTCAAATCCTTATCACGCGAAGCAGTTGCGTTGTTAAAGTCAGCTAGTGTTCACAATAATAAAGACGTTATATCTAGTGACTATAGCGATAGTGATGACGATAGTTATGCTACGACTACAGATAGCGATTAATTTTCCCAACTTAAATATAGGTTTGTTTATTAACTGTTTGTATTTAATGTAATTTTTCATTAAATGAGTGAATATACTCGAATTTGTATTGTTTATTTCGATATTTTACCTATCTACTATATCCCACATACATATATTAGCATGTTCTTCTGTTCTTTCAAAATAGATTCGTGTTTAGCGACCTCGAAAACCCCTGAGTACCAGATTTCGTGAAGATTAATTGAATTTTGAAGAAAATTTTCCGTCATTCTTGGGCCGCCATCTTGTTTTTTGAAAATTTTACTTCAGATTCGGGTTCAGCGACCTAGAAAACCCCCGTCGACCAAATTTTGTAGCGATTACACAATACCTTCTATTTTTGTCCGAAGATTTGGGATTTGGGACCACTGTGCAGCGTGTGTAAAGTTTGTTTATTAACACCCTGTATATGCCTTCAGCGGAGATTTTAACAGGAAGGTCATTTAAATAAATAATGAAAAGCAATGGACCCAGAATTGATCCTTGTGGGACAACAGAAGTAATATTGATAATTTCTGAAGTTCAACCCTTCCATTGCACGCACTGCATTCTATTGCTTAGATAACTACCCTCTTATATATTTTACTTAATAGTGTCATGTTGCACACAATCGAATGCCCTTGACAAGTCACAGCAGAATTTCTCGTCGAACACTCGTGCCACAACATCAATCAAGCTTGTCAGAGCCAACTTTGATTATTGGAGAACTTTTATATAAAAAATTTTGTATAAAGTTAATATTTACCGAGATTCCATACATAATGAGCACCTCTATATGAATATTGGAATTCAAGCCAATATCCTTCACTACAAAAGGCTGTTATAACATACATCTCAACACAAGAGTGTAACTAGTGATTAACTCTTTAGTGCTGCTGAATTAAACATTTAATATTTGCTAATGGACGCAATAATTTATTGCGTCTGAGATTTTGTCTTATTAACCACCGACCTGTTTTACTTGTTTACGAATATCGAGACGAATATTGATCTAAACTTAATTAATCCATATCAAAATCCTAACTTTTGATAACATGGGACATCAACATTTATGTCCTTGCTGTAATAGAAATTCTTCTTGCTTAATAAAAACAAGATTGAGATTTCTAAGTATGTCAGGGAATACCATTTGATTAATTAATGCATTTTTATTTTCTTTAGCTTGTCTATTTTCTCTTAACTTGGATATCTTTCATTGTTTCCCGATTCCGTTAGCTTTTATAATTCGAGCTTGTTGCAGCGTTTATGCAGCTTTGATTAGATGTTTCTTGTTAACTTGAACAATCATTTCTGCTGTGAATTGAGTATGTTTGTAATCGGTGTAATCAACCCAAGGTCCATAAAGCGTATTGTACAAGGTTGGCCAGACGAAGGATTTCAACCTATGAAAAGTTGACATGCCCTAATTGTGACGTCACATGTTACAAACGCTGACGTTTCAAGAGAAAAGTATTCTATTAAAGTATATAAATTATGTAATTAAATAATAAAGAAAGAAAAATACATAACTTTCATAATCAGAGTGTTTAATTAGGAAAAGCAGTATATTTGAGATAAATTATTTCATTTTAGTCTCTCGTCCCCACTGCTTCGTAACTCGTGACGTCACCCCCCTCCTTTCTCTTCAAAACGCGTTCTGCTGTCTTTGGCCAACCTGATACAATGCGCTTTACGGACCTTGAATCAATCTACTTTTTTAAAATCGACCTTTATTCATAAGACACTTAAAAAACAAATAACTCGGTGTGGTGTGTTCCTGATAAGATTTTTTTATCGATAAAAGATAATCAAAAAATTAGTCACTATGAATGAGATTTGAGATCTAAAGGTGGCGTTATAAATAAAGCGCCGTTCGTCGAGACATTTTAATAGCATCCTTTTCAACAACTTCTGGTCAAAGTTTAAAGGTTTATAATTTTGTATCTGATAAAAGGTTTACTTTAATTTTTTTTGCTTGTTATTTATTTTTAAACACATTTAGCGTACTATACTGTATACGAATTCATCAGATAAGTATCTGATTTAATTAATTTTATTTGTATGTTACTTATTAAAACAATGAAGAATTTAGTAAAGATAAAGATTGAAAACTTACCCTATCTATCTTTTCTTGTAAAGCACACATTCTAGCAATTGACCCAATATTATTTGTAATAGTAACTAAAGTGGCCCTTGCTAAATCTTCTCTGCTAACTTTCGACCGTTTATCCCTCGAGTTCATCTGCCCAAAACTAGATAAAAAAGCAAAACTAACGTTTAAAATAAAAATAAAACCCACCCGGTTAAATTAGTAAAGTACTAACCTGCTCGCCACCAAATCGCCCTTCAGCCCGAACCTTTCATAATCGCCACCGTAAATGTCTCTAACCAATTTATCAACGTGCGTGTGATCGCCCCCCGTCGCTAATTCGATCGCCTCTTCAAACGTATTGCAACCGGTCAAGAGACAACATAAACCCAAGAACGTTCCACCACCTATACTATAAAAAACGAAACGAAAACAAGAAAAAAAATGTATTTGTTTGTAATTTTTTTATTTATTATTTTGAATTGTACCTTGTTCCTGAGACTCGTTTATAACTATCCGGACCATAAACGGCTAAAACGCTCACCCCAGAGCCGATATTCACGATTAAAAATGGATAAGGGTTCGAAAAATCATAAATGATTTTCGAACATCGAGCATCATCGGTTGGATCCGACCAATAATAGCATTCGTTACGGTTGTACGAATCGATGAATAGCATTCCTTTTAGTAATGAGTCGAATTCGTCGAATTTCGCTAATCGCATATTAACTTCCTATAAATTACAACAAATTTAATTATTTATATATTAATAATTTAGTATAAGTACCCGAATAAAATTTTCTTCGAATTTATAAGCACCCCCTCCAGTTGCACAAACGATTTTTACTAAATTTGTTAATCCTTTTGATCTTGCCAATGATAAGAAATTTCCCATTTCGCTGGTTGGGAATCGGATAAAATGTAATGTTCCTCGTCTACCACGAATAATAACATCATCCATCTAAAATTATTTAAAAAACATACTTTAGTAATATTGAATTTAAGTTATAGAATAATTATTAAGTTGTTTTTTGTTATAATGGAAGTAATTTTAAATCCATTAACAATTATTTTTTAAATCCGTAAGCTCTAAAAACGAAAAACATGTTCGCAAATATATCACTTTTTTTAATATTCAAGGTTTCGGCGTCATAAGTTGACTTATAATTACCATCGACTGTTACCAGCGCAATGTGAACAATTTAAATAAAATTGGTAAATAGTTTGAATGGTTGTTATATAATTAAAAAAAACTGTACAAATATAAAATAACTCAACTTTTGCGTCAATGGAAGATAAAAACTTCAAATAAGAAGTTGTTAAATGTATACAGGAATTTTTATTATTACGGTTTCGGTCAATTAAACTCATCTTCAGCTTTTTAGGGACAATGGATGAACCTTAATTCTTTTTAAAATTGTCTTGCTCATTTCATAATTATGAATTTGTAACTTCTTCTTCCTCTAAGTAGTAGTCCATCAATTTGTCACCGCCGGTTTCTAAGTCCAAGTAAAGAAGGAAGGAACATACAGTTATGGGACTTAAAGAAAATCTTTGCCATTAACATCTTTATTAGTGATAGTTAACTCAACACTTTGATTTTTCCCTCAATAATAATTTGGAATGGTAGATATTTTTTTCCTCTTATATGTCCCATATTACAACAGTTTTCTTCGTTTAGTCATCATAATTACTTCTTTCTCTTTTCTCATCCGTCTCATCACTTCCATGTTGGCTATTTTGGAGAAGGCTAGACACTTTACCAGAAGACTATATATTATTAACAACAAATATTATTTCTAGAAGGCTAGATATAGTTCCCAGAAGACTCGCCATAATACGAGATATTAGTGCTAGAAGACTCGATATTGTATCCAGAAAATTAGATGTTGTTTGTCGTACACTAGATATTATTTCTAGAAGGCTAGATATTGTTTCCCGGAGCCTATATATTATTTCTAGAAGGCGAAATATTGTTTCCAGAAGATCAGATATTATTGCAACAAGATTAGATACTATTTTCAGAAGTTTTCCAGAAAACCAGTAGACTTGATATTTTAGTCAGAAATCTAGATATTTTTACCAGGAGGCTAGATATTATTGCTAGATGACTAAATATTATTACCAGGTAACAAGGTATTATTTTTAGAAGACTGAATACCACTGTCTATTGCGTGCAGAACACTAAATACTGCTAATACAAGATTATCTTCTTCTTCAAGTGCTATCTGCTTTCCAAAAGTTGGCAATCATTATGGAATTTGAGACTAAAGCTCTAAATAGTTGGTTGCTGGTGCATCCAAAATTTTTCCCAAGTTTTTTTTGCTGTTGTTTGAACAGAATTCCACAATCAACACTTAATTATAGCATGTTGACATCCAACTGAGACAACAAAACCGCATGCAGTGAATTTATTTTTTCTCTGTAATAGCACTGTTGTGGTGACAATTAAAACTTGTTTTATAGGCTTATTGATTAGAGGCTATCCTAGAGGCTCTGCTCTTAAATACGAGATCTCATGACTCTGCGTTGTCGTGGAAATGAAGTTTAGTTTCTACAAAATACGTAAAAAATAGTTTTACGTTTCAAAATTTTAAAAGCCAACCAACTATCATGACCACCACATCATGATAGACAAAAGACCTACGAAGAGTATCCTAAATTTCAAAACAAGAAGTAGAACATGCTGTGACTCAGACTATTTCTTGGTTCCTCAGCCTTGAGGTTCGTCTCCTTTCTATGGACCTGTTTCCTTTGATTTTTCCCTGAATAATAATTTGGAGTGGTAGATATTTTTTTCCTCTCATGATATGTTCCATATTATAACAGTTTTCTTCGCTTAAACATCATAGCTACTTCTTTCTCTTTTCTCATCCGTCTCGTCACTTCCATGTTGGTTATTTTGGAGAACGCTAGATACTTTTACCAGAAGACTAGATATTGTTTCTAAAAGACTAGATATTATTTCCAGAAGGCTAAATATTGTTTCTAGAAGATCAGAAATTATTTCATGAAAACTAGATGATATTTCCAGAAAGCTAAATATTGGTTCCAGGAGTCTCGACATTGTAGTCCGAAAATTAGATATTACCGCGAGAAGGATAGATATTGTTTCTAAAAGACTAGATATTATTTCCAGAAGGCTAAATATTGTTTCTAGAAGATCAGAAATTATTTCATGAAAATTAGATGATATTTCCAGAAAGCTAAATATTGGTTCCAGGAGTCTCGACATTGTAGTCCGAAAATTGGATATTACCGCGAGAAGGATAGATATTGTTTCTAAAAGACTAGATATTCAGAAGGCTAAATATTGTTTCCAGAAAATCTTAAATTATTTCAAGAAAATTAGATACTATGTCCAGAAAGCTAAATACTGGTTCCAGACTACTTGACATTGTAGTGAGAACGTTAGATATAATTGCAAGAAGGCTAGATATTGTTTCAAGGAATCTAGATATTGTTTCAAGGAAACTAGATATTGTTTCCGGAAGATCCGATATTGTTACATTTCAAGCGCATTCGATACTATTTCCTGTAAGCTAGATATGGGTTCCAGTAGACTCGACATTTTAGTCGGAAATCTAGAAATTTTTACCAGAGTGCTAGATATTTTAGCTAGAAGACTAAATATTGTTACCAGGTAACTAGGTAATGTTTTTAGAAGACCGGATACCACTGCCTATTGCTTGCAGGACACTAAATACTGCTAAGACAATATTATCTTCTTCTTCAAGTGCAATCTGCTTTCCAAAAGTTGGCAATCATAAAGGTGATTTTCACTTTTAAGACTGCAGCTCTAAGTAGTTGGTTGCAGGTGCATCCAAAATTGTTCCTAAGGTTTTTTGTTGTTGTTTGAACGGAATTCCAAATCAACATTTTATTGTAGCATGATAACATCCAACTGACAATAAGACCGCATGCAGTGAATTTATTTTTTCTCTGTAATAGCATTGTCGAGGTTGTTAGAGAAAGTAAAGGTTGGTACTAAAAAGAGAGGGAGACGGGACAGTTAGAGAAAGAAGTTCTTGTTATAAGTTTTGTATGTGTGTTCAGTTAAATATTAAATGAAGTAATAATACGAAAAGTGGAGTTATTTTAAAATAACCTTTAATAGAGGTGACAATTAAAAGTAGTTTTATAGACTAACCATTAATTTTTATCTCAACTTTTAAAAGGATATACTTATTGATTAGAGGCTATCCTAGAGGCTCTGCTTTTATACACAAGATCTCATTGCTCTGCGTTGTAGTGGAAATCAAGTTTAGTTTCATGCTATACAGCAACCTATTTCATTTATTCTGGATTCCTGAGGTTAACTACGTTTCGGAACACTTTATTCTGGAATACTTGAACACACTTGATATTCGGGTCACTGACTTTAAAGGTAGATGCCTTTAAGGCATAAAAGGTTATTAATTTCTATTATTGGCCTAAATCTTTCAAACAATAGTTTTTAACATCATTAAGTTGCTTTCTTGCCCTTGGAAACAAGATACCCTCCACTATACCTTTTCTGGGCAGATGGTTTAGGATTTTTCTTGCGATGAGGTTGAAGTTGTTGGAATCGATCTTCAATATTGGTCATATCTTGATTGTTTTGCCCTAGATTGGAAGTAAAGATTTTAGCTAGATGTTCAGCAAACAACGTTACTTGTTGCTTATTATTACTTGATCAGGTTGAACAGGTGGCCTTCCCTTTCTTTGGTTGCCTTCCACAGCGAAGTCACTCTTTTCATATACTAAGAATCTTTCTGCTAAATATGGTGAAAGGATTAGGTATTTTTCTTTGAGGATGTCATTATTTGAATTGTTTGGCTTGATCGTCCGCTTGAGAGGTGTAATATATTTTATTCCCTTTTATTTTAAGGTAGGATTGACCTATCATGTGTGTCTCAGAAATGAGAGAGACATATATAAACTATGTATTCATGAAGACTATGCAGTCCAGATAGCAATACGTATACCTTTTTAGTACTTAATTATTTTATTTTGGGTCAAGGACAGTAGAGTCTAACAGGACTGCTACATCCATTGTATTTTTGTAGTCCACTACGGGTTGGTTGCCCGCACTCTACGTCACACTATTTGCCACGCCTGGTAACCACTGGTAACTATCTGTGTTTTTAGAGATTATTTGATAGACATTAATACGTCTAAAAACGTAAAACTTCAAAAACAATATGAATATGTCTAGGATATAACCTTTAAAAATACACAGCAAACGCATAGTGAGAATGAGTTCTCTTTCAGCAATAGAGTACACCATTTTTACGGAAACCCATGAAGGTGAAGATGACTAAACGGAAACAGCTATTGTGACAGTTCTTTGGCAGTTCAGTGACTTTCTTTTGTTTCCACGCCTAATTGATTAAAATTAGGTTTCGATAGCGCTTACCGCTCTCCTGAAGTGGCAATGCCACGTGGGTCACTTGCCCACATAACCATAATCCTTATAAGATAAGCTTTCATTTGAGATAACACGCGATAGGTCATTAAAATTTTTGGGGATGTATTCGTGAGGGCGCAGAGGTAAACGTCAAAAGTGTGAATTATAGGTCAAACCGTTTCCCCCTTGAAATATAAGTGGACCTGTTTTCAGAAATTTTCAATTACCTTTTGGTTTCTGAAATATCTCAGGCGGATCGTTTTCAAAAAATCACCCCGTATATTGTTTCCAGAAGACTTGACATTATATCCAGAAGACTAGATATTATTGCTAGAAGACTAGATATTGTTTCCAAAACACTAAATATTATTTCTAAAAGATTAGATATTGCTTCCAGAAGGCTAAATATTGTTATCAGAAGACCAGATATTGTTGTTAGGAGACTGTATATTGTTTCCAGAGGACTAGATATTGTTGCCAGAAGACTAGATATTATTTCTTGATTGTTCACACTTTAGTTATCTGGTTAGTGTTGTTGTATGCCACTGATTGGGTATGACAGGAGAAATGTTCAGCTTCTTTTAGGTTGATTTTGATCTGGATGTCAATCTGAACACTTTCCCAGTCAGCAATTTGACTAGCAAGAGTTCCTCAGACCACCCTATTTATTAACCTTTCAATTTTCTAGGTGTCAGTAAACCATTAGGCCCACTTTCCTGTGAGTGGCAGTTGCAGTTCTTGTCTTGGACTGCTTTCCTTAAATCTCTCTCTTTGATTGTGGTTAGGCTAGAGCCATAATTTACGTGTTTGGCGTTGTAGTCCTCACCAACAATAATTTTTGTTCTTAAATGTATCAGGAGACACTGTTAGATGGATGTCCTGCAGATGCAATTTTTAAGTTTTTGGCTAGGTCTTTCCAGGTCTTTGCTGGGGTTTCTGTTGCATTCTTTAAGCATAGGATATCCCAGGCTTTACTATATTAGGAACAATCTCTCCCTTACTTACTACCTCTTATTTTCTAAAGAATTATAATTGAAATCCATTTTACCTGTTGTTAATTTTGAAGTAGGTAAATAAGTTTGAATTTTAAATTAAATAAAAACCAGTTTAAAAGTACAGATTCAAACTTATTTACCTACTTCTTATTTTCTTCAGATTTTGACAATTAACAAAGTGAGGTTAATTTAAAAAAAATTGCCAATACTTATACAAATACAAAAAGATAAAAAAAACATTTTTTTTTCAGGAAATGAACTCTTGAATACATAACCCAAAAGGTCATAAAATAACAGATCATTCCAACAAATACAAAGTTCATTAAATGTAAATACACAATGCAAAAAATTATAACCAAGATCAAAGTTCGTTACAAAGTTCAAATATGTGACCTGGTTTCATACATATTCTTCAACATAAAACCTACCTGAAGATGTGTATCGCGATGACCGGACTTCCCATAAGCAGAATTTCTAGTTAAATATCTCCTGATGTTTCTTAATGTTTCAACCTCTGAATCCAATTCATCCTTTGTAATGTCCTTCGGCTCAAAGTACACTAATTTACATAAAGTGCCACCAATATCCATTCCAAACCAAGGCATCACTAAAATAATTAACATTTAAAAATAAAAAAATCGAAATAATTAACTTATTTACTTACTTGGACTATCTGTTGAAAATCCATTTCCAATTTCACCATTAACAGTCACCTCCATGGGAATTTCTTTACGTTTATCAGCCATTCTAGCTATACGAGTACGAAGACAACCTTTACAACTGTGCAGGGCCATCGATGCAACTCCAAAACACTTTAATTAAAAATTAATTAATTAATAAAAAAAGAAAACAACTACATAACAAGGATACATTTATTATTACACATTTATTTCACATAAATTAGGAAATTAATAAAAAAAAACGCAATTTATGGGGCCCTCTTCTTACCTTGTGACATTGTATTTTGTAACTTTTGTATGAAATGGGGCACTAAAAAATGGGTTTTACGGGCGAAAAACTGTTCGCGGATACTCTCGGGGACGGGAACAACCTCGAAAGTTACGCGATTAACTGTATTCACGTCATCGTCGTCCGTTGTGTTGTGTAAATTATCAGGAAAAAATGGTTCGTAATGGCTCGACTTGACAGAAACGGAAAATCACGGAAAATTAGGTTATGTGTCAAAAAGCAAGGCCGAAACCGATCGGATGATTATTACGAAAATGGCGGGAAATTTAAAATTCTGTCAAAAAAATTATTCTTTTTTTTTAAGAAATTAATATAAATACATAAAAAAAATTGTTGATAGTAATTAATATCTACTTTTTTTTTGATATTTTAATCTTCAACCACTTAAATTTATTCTTTTCAAATACTATCTAAATCTACGTATTTCGTGGTATTACATCGTAATTGAAAGCAGAATTAATAATAATAATACACTTTATCACACTTTAAATTAACGTTTAATTACTAGAAATTCGAAAGAATTTTAAATGTAATTCGGTAAATCACAATTTAGTGATTCTAATCACAATTTTGACGATTTTTGTACGATTGGGTTAAAAAAATGTTTATCTGAGCTATTTACAACAATCAAGAAGCAAAATTTATCAAAAATTAATTAATAAATAAAATGTTGAAATCCAATTTTAGCAATCGCAAATAGTTTCTGAGAAATACACAATGAAGGTTAACCCTAAAATGTTTCAATGACACGATTTATGCTAACTTTAAAAAATTTTATCTTAAAAACGAATTGAGATATCGACATGAAATAAAAGCAGATTAAAAGCAAATTTATTTAAGATTTAATGTGGTGAAAATTATTTCTTTATTTCTATAAATTAGGATGTTATGATTATTATAATTCAACTCTGCATTAATTGCTAAATTTATTAAATTACTAAATTTAAAAAAATCATATCTCAAAAAGTAATTGAGATATTAAGACGGAATAATAACCATTTTGTAGTAAATTTAATACAGTTTTAACACACCAAAAATGATTATTTCGTTTATATTAATTTCAGAGATACGATTATCTTTATTCAACTCTGTTGTTGCTAAGGTTATACTGGGAGAAATGAAATTTAGAAAATCGTATCTCAGGAACAAATTGAGATATCATCATGAAATGAGAACCGTTTTAAAGTAAATTTAATTAATATTAAGTATATAGAAAATCATTTCTTTATTTCCACAAAATTACGACGTTAATATTTTTTTAACTGTCTGTACATTCATTTATGAAGTGTTTATATTTATGTATTTTTGAAACATCATATCTCAAAAAGTAATTGAAATATTGAGACGAAATAGAAACCATTTTGTTGCAAATTTAATAAAGTTTTAACACACCAAAAATAATTATTTCGTTCCTATTAATTTCGGAGATACGCTCTCTTTGATTCAACTCTGTTATTGCTGAATTTATATTGAGAAAAATGAAATTTAAAAAGCCGTATCTTATGAACGAATTGAGATATCACCATGAAATAAGAACCGTTTTAAAGCAAATTTAATTAATATTAAGTATAGGTATAGAAAATCATTTCTTTATTTCCACAAATTGCGACGTTAATATTTTTTTAACTCTCTGTATATTCATTTATGAAGCGTTTATATTTATGTATTTTTGAAAAATCATATCTCAAAAAGTAATTGAGATATTAAGACGAAATAAAAACCATTTTGTAGCAAATTTAATAAAGTTTTAATGCACTAAAAATAATTATTTCGTTTCTATTAATTTCGGAGATACGCTCTCTTTGATTCAACACTGTTAGTGCTGAATTTATATTGAGAAAAATGAAATTTAAAAAGCCGTATCTCAGGAACGAATTGAGATATCACCATGAAATAAGAACCGTTTTAAAGCAAATTTAATTAATATTAAGTATATAGAAAATTATTTCTTTATTTCCACAAATTACGACGTTAATATTTTTTTAACTCTCTGTATATTCATTTATGAAGCGTTTATATTTGTGTATTTTTGAAAAATATTATCTCAAAAAGTAATTGAGATATTAAGACGAAATAAAAACCATTTTGTAGCAAATTTAATAAAGTTTTAACGCACCAAAAATAATTATTTCGTCGTTCCTATTAATTTCGGAGATACGCTCTCTTTGATTCAACTCTGTTATTGCTGAATTTATATTGAGAAAAATGAAATTTAAAAAGCCGTATCTCATGAACGAATTAAGATATCATCATGAAATAAGAACCGTTTTAAAGCAAATTTAATCAATATTAAGTAAGAAAATCATTTCTTTATTTTCACAAATTACGACGTTAATATTTTTTTAACTCTCCGTACATTTATTTATGTAGCGTTTATATTTATGTATTTTTGAAAAATCATATCTCAAAAACTAATTGATCAATTAAGACGAAATAAAAACCATTTTGTTGCAAATTTAATAAAATTTTAACACACCAAAAATAATTATTTCGTTCCTATTAATTTCGTAGATACGCTCTCTTTGATTCAACTCTGTTATTGCTAAATTTATATTGGGAAAAATGAAATTTAAAAAGCCGTATCTCATGAACGAATTGAGATATCATCATGAAATAAGAACCGTTTTAAAGTAAATTTAATTAATATTAAGTATATAGAAAATCATTTCTTTATTTCCACAAATTACGACGTTACTACTTTTTTAACTCTCTGTACGTTCATTTATGAAGCGTTTATACTTATGTATTTTTGAAAAATCATATCTCAAAAACTAATTGAGATATTAAGACGAAATAAAAACCGTTTTGTTGCAAATTTAATAAAGTTTTAGCACACCAAAAATAATTATTTCGTTCCTATTAATTTTAGAGATTCGATTTTTTTTATTCAACTCTTCTTGCTGAGATTATGTTGATAAAAATGAAATTTAAAAAATCGTATCTGAGAAACGAAATGAGATATCATCATGAAATAAGAACCGTTTTAAAGCAAACTTAATTTATATTGAGTGTGTAGAAATTCATTTCTTTATTTCTACAAATTTTGACGTTACGATTTTTTTAATCTCTCTACATTCATTTGTGACGTGTTTATGTTTATGTATTTTTGAAACATCATGTCTCAAAAAATAATTGAGATATTAAGACAAAATAAAAACCATTTTGTTGCAAATTTAATAAAGTTTTAGCACACCAAAAATAATTATTTCGTTCCTATTAATTTCAGAGATTCGATTTTTTTTATTCAACTCTTCTTGCTAAGATTATGTTGATAAAAATGAAATTTAAAAAATCGTATCTCAAAAACGAAATGAGATATCATCATGAAATAAGAACCGTTTTAAAGCAAATTTAATTTATATTGAGTGTGTAGAAAATCATTTCTTTATTTCTATAAATTTTGACGTTACGATTTTTTTAAACTCTCTACATTCATTTGTGACGTGTTTATGTTTATGTATTTTTGAAACATCATATCTCAAGAAGTAATTGAGATATTAAGACGAAATAAAAACCGTTTTGTTGCAAATTTAATAATGTTTTAGCACACCAAAACTTATTATTTTGTTCCTATTAATTTCGGAGATACGATTTTTTTTATTCAACTCTGTTATTGTCGAGGTTATATTGAGAAAAATGAAATTTAAAAAATCGTAACTCAGGAAATTAAATTAATATTTAATGTGTAAAAAATCATTTCTTCACTTCTATAAACCCGGATATTATGATTATTTCAATTCAACTTTGCATGTCCACTTTTGGCACGTTACATATAAAAATATTTTAGTATCAAGAATAAGATGGGGGTAATTAATTATTTATATTTATTATTAAAATTCTTACCTTATAAGCTTATACCATAAAAAAATCGATATAATTCTTGGATATGTTAACAACACAATAATCAGCAAGAATNTCTAAACCAAGTAACGCACTCAGGGGCAAAGCCCATAGCAGACAGAGACGACACCAGTAAGCTATGATCCACAGCATCAAATGCTTTGCTGAAGTCCAGCAAAACTAACAAGGTTATTCGTCGATCGTCACAGCTACGCTTAATATCATCAGTAACCTTGATGAGTGCCGATGTGGTATGCAAAAACATTATATGCACGTGTAGATTTCATTGAAAATAACTTAAACCAAGGAGCTATGCAAAAAAGACATTAAAATGTCTAAAAAGCAGCAACTAAAAATAATGCTGTGGAATTCCAATGGTCTTCGACAGTATCAAAATACACTACCAGTAATATTTAAAGAAAACAATATTGATATTGTATGTCTAGAGAATCGTATATAAACATCAACCATTACAATATTTATCACACAATTCACCCTAGTAATGCGGCTCGAGGTGGAAGTGCAATTATTAAAAGTATTAAAAGTAGTAGTGACATCAAACTACAGTGGTAAAAGTTCAAACCGCTAATGGCTTAATATCTGTAGCAGCAACGTACATACCGCCGAGACATAATTTCAAAAGAGAAGATTATCAGGAAATTCTACTGCATCTTGAAAACAAATTTATACTTGGAGGAGATTTTACTGCAAAACATATGTCTTGGGGTTCTCGCTTGACAAATACAAAAGGAAGAGAACTGAAACCAGAGCTGTTACAAGTACAAAGGAACAGTACTCCCAGTAACCAGTACAAGTAGCGCTATAAATTATTTTTACTCCAAGTAATAAGTAACAAGTATTTTTAAAAAGTACTTGGAGAAATAAGTAATTTTACTTGAAACTAAAATTTCAAGTTATCCAGTATAAAGTAATTACAACCCTTGAATGTACATATATCTTGTATTTTAAATCATACCTTGTAAATAATTCTCCTGTACTGAGTAATCACACGTGGTAGAACAGTGTTATTCACCTGCACTCAGCACTATGAGCTGCACTAACTTGAAATAACCGACTCGCGTCCTTTCTCCAAACAAGTAAGAAGTATCCAGTACATTTTAAGCTAAATACTGAAAGTACAAGTATTAAGTACCTACAATTTGAAAGTACAAAGTTTACTTTAAGTAAACTACTTAAAGTAAAAAATAGTATATTAAAAAACAAGCTTCGTAAGACACGTTTGAAATGCACGAATTCAAGTTGAAAAACGANATTTATATTTATTATTAAAATTCTTACCTTATAAACTTATACCATAAAAAAATCGATATAATTCTTGGATATGTTAACAACACAATAATCAGCAAGAATTAAACA